GGTGTATCCACACGAGTGCCCTAAAAAATGTTTACTGCTAATCATTTCTATATGTCTTGCTCAGATGTGCTAATTTATGTTCAATCACAAAAAGGGTACCAGTGATCTGTTTTGAACCTGCTTTTCTAGATTAATTATACACTCATCTCCAACATTGCTGAAACATTTCCATCCCTGTTAATAAACATTCCATTAAAGGATCTGTCACCAAGATCATTCTTCAAACTTGATGTATAGCTATAAATTTATCAATACAGACTTGTGTTTATAAAGGAGCTTGTCCTCAAAGTAAGGTAGTGAGGTAATTAAAATTTTTTCCTTTAGGTAAAAAATAAACAAAGAACTACTTTCTCTGTTAATAATGCCTAAAACTAATTCAGGAGTGCTAACTTAAGTACTCATGGCCTAAAAGAAGCTTGTAACATGACAAGATTTAAAACAGTGTTCATGAGGCAATAGCATAGTTACTGTGGGGAAATTCTAACAACTGAGTGAATATTTTAAAACTAATAATATGCCTTAAATAAAATGTGCATTAACTCGCCTTGGTTAAAAGCTGGCATGAATGATTATTACTCCCTAAATCACATGTGCTGAAATTACACTGCAGTCAAATCTCTTAGGAAAAGATACGGCGATTCTTGAATGACTAAAGTTTCTATTATTAGTAGGCATTTGGCTTCATACTACAGATTATTTCTATGCTTGGCAAATGTGGCAGATTTTGAAGCACAAGATGTTAGAACTACTTTGATCTCACATTTATCACTTCAAAATGTTGAAACCATTAGCCACTGTTTTGTAGAAACTCATTGGGCGAATGTGAAAATCATTAGGCGCATTTCTGCAACTATTAATAAAAATGTTCATCTTGTCAACGAAAAGGGAACATTTCCCAGTAAAAATCAAGAAATTATGGACCTTATCTGAAGACTACCTTTAACCTCCTGCACCCCACTTGTAGAGAATTCACAGGGCATTTGTTTACAAAGCAAGTTTGTTTACTTTTTAAGGGGCTGAAATAACTTTAAGCAGTCATAAGGCATCAGGGGGGCACTGTGGTGCTGGTGTGTGCATGGGGCAGGAGGAAGAAGCTGTTTCCTACCTGAAGAGAATACATAAGCACTGGGGATGCATGCCAAGCAAATACACAACAACCAGGTGGAACAGGACACTTGAATTCAAGTACAAATCGGGCTCCTCACAGGCTGACCATGAGCTACGCTAAGTGAGGAAAAAGTCCTTCTCCCCATTCCCAGCCTCGGTGCCCCACCTAGACTGTAAGCTTCTTAAGGACAGGACCATATTTTATTTAACATTACAGCCTAACAGAGGCCTGCACATAGTAGGTGCAGAAAGAAGGGAGAGAGGGTGAAGGGAAAGAAATTTTAAGTTACTGTGCCACCAAAAATGAGAAACAAATTAGTTCCTTCTCTGTTATTGCAGCAGTCCCTGGGTGGTGCAAATGGTTAGTGTTTGGCTGCTAACCAAAAGGTTAAAAGTTCAAGTCCACCTAGAGGGGCCTCAGAAGAAAGGTCTGACGGGTCTACTTCTGAAAAATCAGCCCTGAAACCCTGTGGAACACAGCTCTACTCTGACACACATCAGGTCGCCAAGAGTCCGCACTGACTCCAGGGCAAACAGGTTTTTACTGGTTTCGCTTGTTGCAAATTGGCCCTGCACATCCTACACTTTCACTGTAGGTTCTTTGCCACTTCTAAATTGGCAGAGTTTTGCCTGTGCATGACTGCTGCGGGGGGGAAAAGCAAACCCCTTCAAGAAGTTGCCCACATATAGAGAGGCCAGACAACAGAACTGTTTCTGCCTCCAAAATAGTCGCCCCTTGGCCAGGAGACTGGTCAGAACTTGTGTACCATTCAGAGGAAAATAGTTTATGCCATCTCTCTCCGTGTAAGAAAAGTTAGGCACACCCAATTTTCCCTGTGTAAATAATCTCAAGCTTTCACAAAGTTCTAGGAAGGGGGGAAAAAAAAAAATCTGACATTTAGGACTTGAGACGTGGCTTGGATCTCCCCTCCAGAGCTAAATTGATGGCAGTTGGAAAAAATAAATGTATTAAGAGGCAAAAGGCACACGCAATTATTTTCACAACCTGAACTAAACAAATGTCTTAGTGGGCAAAGAGAATGTCAAACATTTGTCAAAAAATAATCCTGTTCAGAAATTTGCCATGGAAGCTTGAGATGAAACGGAAAAATGTTAAAGATACTTGAAACGATTAGTCGCTGATGCAATGGTTCTCGTTAGATGTACTTTAATCATGAATGACAAAACATTTTTGGTGGAAACAGTCTATTTTTAGTATTTAAACAGGGCTTGGTGACTGTGTTTAATTAGCTAACATTTCACCTCATGAACTCCATAATGGAATTCTAAATAATTCCCTTATGCCTCTTTTTTGCATGTGTATAAATCTAAATTCCAACTAAGATTTCATTACCGGATAATTTTGCAGTGCAATATTTTCTTAATCACAGTTTGCAAACCTTTTTATTTTCAGTTGAGCTTGCATGGGTTTTTGTCTCATTAAATAAAAATACAAGTGATTATTTCACCACAGACTTCATTTCAGATGATTATCTTTAATTTGATGAAAGGCAGTGTTTACACATTTGCCATTCTTTGTGCACAGGTAATTCAGTGATAATAAATGCCAGAAAATCTCATCTCCTTGGAAACCATGCAGATGATTATACATTTGTTCATTCAACAGATTTTACTGGGTACCTACTATGTGCAAGGCATTGTGCTATGTGTTGCAGAGATTATAAATTGTAGAGTTTTGATGAAACACTTCAAAATATCTGAAGTGATATTTATCTGCATAAGGGAAGGACAGCCTTCAATTATAAACTGCTCGTACTTTTTAAAAATTGTCTGGCCTTTTAAAAAAATTATTATTTTCTGGCCTTTGTAAAATTATATGCCTTTTCTCTCCTAAAAAAAAAAAAGAATTGTAGAGCTGGGAGACATCCTGCCCAATATCCTCTTTTTATAAATGATGAAGATGAGACCCAGGTGAGGTAGGGATCATCCAGGTAACCAGGAGCTAAGATCTAAACACAGCTCTGTTATCAACGTTTGGACCAGACCCACGGCTAAATAATTCTTATCATGTATTAGGTACAAACAGGGCCTACGGGGGGGGGGGGAAGCACAGGTGACAATTATTGTCACATCAACTGTCCTACCATGATTTGTCTGGGAATTAGAGCCCATTAAATACTAGGTTGTGTAATAATTCCGATCATTTAAGAACTCCTGAAATAAGAAAACACTAGAGTTCCGTCTATCACCACCTACTCTATAGGTGCGAGTCTGGGGTTGGAATGCCCAGTACAACATACAGCGAGATCCTGGTTCTGCCGGCCATGGCGAGGCTGGAGGAAGTCTGCGCGTCTGGCACCGACCGTAAGAGGCGCTCGTGCGAGAATTCTCGCCTGCCTTTGTGCAGGGCCTGCCTCTGGCGACCCTGTCAGTCTAGCCCCTTCTTCTTGCTGTCTAATCCCCTGCGTCGCTCTGGGGCTCCAAAGGTTAAAGCCGGGGGTTGTGGAAGCTCGAACAGCCCAGAAGCACCTCCACGAGGCCACTCCCGGCAGAGCGCTGCTCCACCTCGGGGCCTCCCGCAAGACAGCAAAACCTGCGTGCTGGCACTTGTGCGCTCCTCCTCGCTAGTTTCACCCCAGATTTGGCTCGGTTCACTCGCTGCAGCCCAACCCCCTCCTAAACTCCCAGACTTCAGCGCAGGGGGCTTCACTCTGCCTTCCTAGTGGCTCCTCCTTCTCCACAAGCGGCACCTTTCTTGGAAACTACCACTCTTCGCTGCAGGGCACTGCTGGCAGGGGCGGCGGGTGCCTGGGTCCCCGCTCGAGATTCCAGGTGGTGTCCCCGCCGCCAACTCCCTGGACCCAGCCCGAACTCTTAACTCAGCCGCCCGCTGGAAGCCTTCTCGCCGGCGGGGAATCTGGCCCTCACTGCAAACGCGCGTCAGGTTGGTGGGTGGCCGCATGGGAAGGCACTAACCCAGCCTTGAACCCCACGACCCTTGAAACTAACCCACCACGGGGCCAATAATTCAACTGAACGACAAGGTCAAAGGCGCATAGTGCGTTTGGCCGCCGGCTGGCAGGCGGTGATGCAATAAGGATCAGGCGGGAATGGCGTGGACAGGATGGAACAGCGCGGTCACGGGGGCCTCCGGCCGGCAGCAGGTTAGCACCAAGGTAGCGGGGGCCGCAGGCAGCGCGGAGAAGAGGCCCTGCGGCCGTCTGCAGGAACCCTGCCATGCCTTCCCCGCCTGCGCATTCCTTGGCAGTAGGCGTCACGAGCAACGCGGCTGCCTGCGCTCACGTTACTATCCCCCAAGCGCGGATTCCGCACATAACCGCGTCGCTTCGGGGATTTTCTCCCTCCTCCCACCACCCCC